GACGAGTTTACACGCAGCACATCACCGCCTTCATAGGAGTCAGTTTTTCCGTCGCCTTCATCACAGCACCCCTGCTTATCTTCGCCATACTCAGAACGAAGTAAGTTGATTCGAGAAATCAGATTTTGTGTCTTTGGCAGTTGTTTTGACATAAACGTGACTCATTTTACGCTGGTCGTCTGGGCGGAGCCATAACCACTACCGTACTTTTCGCTTCCGTACCACCTTACGTAGGTTTAGGAGCACTAGAATGTGCTATGAAGTCAAAGCTTACATGAGCAAGGAGAACACCACGCGCGGCAGCGCACGCGGCGCCGCGTCGCCGCAAGGTGAGTCCGCAAACGGCGCCTCCTGGCCCATATGCACTGAGACCGACATTTTCGCGCTCGATTTATTTGTGCTTAATTTCATCCCTTTATATAGTTTGGCAATATCGTTGTTTCAGTACGCTTGCGGAATGGTCGAAAGTGTTCATGCTCTCGGCTGCGGTAATCGCCATCTCTTCTGTGGTGTTTGCCATTTTTGGCCGTGGTAAGTTGAATTCATCGGTGTATCAACAGTTCCAAAGCCATTCTATTCCCTTTCAGGACGTGCTTCAACTTGGGCGGCGGCATCGTGGGATCCGCTGATGTCGACGAAGATGAGGAATCTGCAGCCAATTGACTTTAGCCAGGATGAATGCGGTCTTCTACGAATTGCGTCTAATCGATCCGAACAAAAAGTAGGCGCCTTTGGCTGGCTGGGTTGGAGGCACATTCCGCGATAAACACGGGCGGAGACTCGTAAGCGTTGTGCTTTTCTGATTGGTACGCACCTCTCTTTGCTCTATTAGAAGAAGGAAGGCACAACTCTTATAGGTGCCCGCCCAACCGTTTATCGCAGAATGGCCTTCAACTAATTTTTGTATGAATTCACTTACATCCAGCTGCTTCATAAAACTCCCAGATGCTCATTGATGTCTAGTTAACCCTTATCGACTTACATAATCATGTGGGTGTGAGGCAGCTACACTCCCTTTTCACGCTCCCAGACGTGCCTTCTCCACTTTGCCTATTGTCCACTAATGTAATCGGGTTCGCTATTTTCTGTGTGTCTTATTGTTTTGGGTAGCCTTAGGGCCACCCATTACTCCTGTATATTTTCTCTCCCATATTCTTATTTTCGTCTAGGTTTTCTAAGAAGACTGAATACTGTCTCTATGAGAGATCTGTCCCTTCTCTTGTAATTTCGACATTTTGTTTCACTTCATACTTTACAGAGATTGTGCAAGTTTCTATGAATATTTGAATTAAATATTGACATAATCTGTGAGTTGATGTGCGATATTTCCAATTTACATTTCCGTTCCTAATATTTCCCAGTTTCCGGACTGAATTGCTGCAATCATCAGAGCGCTACGTGGTGTGGATTCTTGGGTCGAGGGATCTACAGGGGGGAGGGGCAAAAACACTTTTCTTGCTCGACTTCCGAGGCGATATAAGTTACACTTATTAAATTCTGATTGGACATTTCCACCACCAAATTCAACAACACATTGTACACTATCACGATACTCCGCCACAGCCTTCTGGACGAGCGCCATCGAGAGATTCTGCCACGCGACCGTGGTGCCTGAGTTCAGCGAGATCGTTGATTTCTCCGCCACTGTAGACCACCCTGTTGAGCTCCGCCCGAACCAGGTAATTGAGGGGGTTAGGTCAGGTGACACACTTGGATATTCCATCTTCTTCAGGTACTCAACGCCCTTCCATTCCAAGTAGGCGAGAGTTTTTCCAACGCCCTTCGATTCCATGTGGTGGCACTCAATGCTGTAGCAGAGGTTTCTAACGCCTTCGATTCCGGTGTGGTGGCACAGCAATCTGAAGCAGTACGAAGTTTCGCAGTGCGGGCAAGGAGACGAAATGACAGGACGGATATTCACTTCGCGATTCGGATCGATGTTACAATCATCGTATTACTCCAGATCAAGGTCATGAAGAAATATCGTCCTCCCATGCTGTAGGAACTCCAGTTTGATACAGTTAGCTGCGCCTTGACGACTGCGGTTGAAGATTGATATCCTGGAACCGTAGCGACGTTACGGAGTCCTGCTCAGTCGACACAAGAAGTTCCGCGGCTGTTTGGAGGTTACGTGAGTTCCATAGGCCTTCTCCAGTCCGGCTGCGATTGGAGGTGGCTTTTGGTGTACGTGAAGCTGATGAGCGAGTGCCTGTTCCTGCTTATCGAAGGACATCTTGGGTATCTTCACGCTTTTAGTTTCGGTACCTGTATCATTTCTTCTGCCTGGGTTGCTAAAACGTTTACTGGTAGGTGACTCGGGCCGAGAGAGTGTATTTTTTGGCCCTACCCCTGCTAATGTCATTGGATGCTTATTTGCGCAGCCTTTTTTCCTCTTATAAGCAAGCGACGCTCGTGGTTCAGCTGTCGTTAATTTTCCTAGATCGCCGCAACATGGTGCGAACGAGATATCGGCTGGCTGGACTTTTAGAAGTCCTGCGCAGAGATGGGGAACAGGAACGTCTATCGCTGTTGGAGGAGTTTTGGAGGATACAACACTTTTTTCCAGAAATCTCCTCTGGGTACGACCCCTGCCTCTCCCGTGGCTACCTATCTTCTTCCTTAATGTTCCCTGCTCCCATCTTTCCTACCACTTTTACGTTTTTTTTTCAGAAACCCCTCCACCTTTTCGTCAAGAAGCCACCGTCAGCCAGGGCACATCATTGGTTGAGGATTTCAGTTGAGTCTGTGCGACCCTTTTTTTGAGCGTTGATACGGACCCCCGCCTCCCCTCCCCGCCGGGAGCTCTGTCCTCCTTTATCGAATAAAAGCCGTCGAGGGAGGGGAGAGGGCAGGGGGGAGGTTTCATGACACTTGAAAACAGGAGAATCGGAATAATATAAGGAACAAGGAGATAATAGATATCAATCACGTAGACTGATATTGTTTTGCCTCGAAGGACTACGACCCCCACTCTCCCTCCAGCGACCCCGAATACACCCCTATCCTCTCGAGCATTATTCATCCTTCATCCAGCTCGTCTCGAACAAAATAAATTCACAGTCTGCTTTTAGAGATAACAGTACAGAAAATATCTTTATCTATAAAAATAGCTGAACAGGATTTTCAGGCGGGTGGCGAGCGGATTTTGTCAGGGGCATAACCATCGACAGAAACACTTTCTGTAGAAAAAGTTGAAAAAGATGGTAGGGGGGGTAAAATGTAACCTTACCAGGTATTCACAGGGTCATATGCGAGACTCATGGTGGATAGTGGGAACGCTGCTGATTCGGCAGCGATAGAGTTCGGTATTGAAAGCATAATGAACGCGCAGAAAAAGGTGGCGCGTATGATAAAAAAACACAGGGCGCTGATGTTTCATTTCGCTTGGTGAGACAACTTGTCAGCGGCATTTTTCCTAACAAGTTTCACATTCAGTCTGGAAGAATCGAAGAGCAGGTTAAAAAATCCCTCAGAGCAGCTTACTTAAGCCCGTGTCCATCCTTGCAGATACAAGGCGCTGTCCCTCAGTTTTGTTTTGATTTGACCGGATTTCTCGGCAAAACTCCATGACTGCCGTCGGCACTTGTCATTGCAATGAACTGCATCGGGTGACAGGTGGACGATGACCAGTGTCTTGCTATCGCCATCTGTAATTGTATTTTTGAGTTTACCATCCTTGGGAGCCCTTGCAGGTGGCTCGCCACCAGTACGGTCCAGGTCAAAAATCCTGGACGGCACTTGAAAGCCGGCAGGTATGTGGACAACAGTAACCGTATTGTGCCACGGACGAACGACAGCGCTCGGCACGCGAAGGAGTTGTCCATCCCACCCGAAAGAATTTTGAACGGATAAAGGGAGTGGAAAAGGTTGGATAAGCTTGGCTGAAAAGCTTGCCTCTGTGCGGTAGTGGCTGCTTATAAAGAAAAAAAACAGGACGGGCACGTGCTGCATCCAGTGGATGCACGCAGGTGACGACTGGCGCAGACAAGTATGGCGATGGTGCTTGACCGTTAATCCCCCCCCCTCCCGAAAAAGCCAAGCCCAATTCTATCTTAATGAGACCATGAGTAAACTGATAGCTCAGTGGATCTAGATAATAGCAGAGGGGTAATCTATGGCTAGGACCATTTTTTTTTCTTATGAGCCTCCTAAGCCAGGTCACGTCTTCAAGACGGATCGGAGCGACAAAGTGCGGAGCCAAAAAGTAAGGCTATAGACTTGAACTCAATCTATCTTAGGGCAGCACCTGAAGCCGCGGGCATGTCATCGTTGTAGTGAAACATTAAGGCGAGAGAGAAGATCGTAGATCACTCTCTGAAAATTTTTTCGGTTGCAATAAGTTTTCGTCCCGTTGGCGCATGCTCTATATCATCTTTCCTATCTCACCAGGGCACAGCATTCAAAAGGGATTCCCTATGGGGGGGGGGTCGTAATGAGTGCGGTAGCCAGTAACGAGCAGCGCAAAGGTGTCAGTGTGCTGAGTCCTGTACAGCGAAGCTTGCTTTGTAGAGAACTCGGATATGTAAAAAAATAGTACAAAACTTTCATTCATCAAACTAATCTGAAATAACTGGAAATAAAAAGTCGACATCATCTCGTAAGTGATTAAACACTACAACTCATACTCTGGTTCGCTGCGGATGATGGGACGTGTCCGCGATCGCGCTTGGCGCTGAGCCAACCTGTTTTTTTTTCGACAAACGACTACCATATCGCTCGTATCAGACGTTTTCCAGCAGTTGGTCTCCCTCATCGGAATCAGCAATTGGCGGAGCACGAATCTGGCGGCCGTACAGGAGACACTCTCCAATACATACGCAACCAGAAACACTGGTAGCCAGTGCACGAGGTTCGCCAATGGACCTCCCGTTTGCTCGGCGGTGAACAGACTTACGCACAAGTTGGCATCCCATCACTTCCTCTGCGCGGACCTCAGTGCGCGGCGCATCCAAAGTCAGCGTGATCGGCGCTAAACGAACCATATTCTGCTCCTGCTCCACCACAGGATACGTTCATGCGTTCCTGGTTATTCGAACACGCTCACTTGAAGCGGTACACAGGAAACGGGTTTTTCGCGCAGCTGGGAGTGTTCCCCAAGGAATCCCCATCGCCAGATCTCATGAATCCCGAGGACTTCAGAAACAGTTCAATAGGTTTTTAGAAAGAGCAAGTCTTCATACACTCGAATCCGTTCTCAGATTTGTGAAATGTTGAGTTACAAAAAAAATATATTGATTCAAACCTGTTCCTGAAAAAAATCCCCATCGAATCCCCAAGGCAATTTCTCTGTGATTTTTGCGACCTTCATGAACATTTTAGTACTTTTAGGAAGATCAAACCTTCCTCTACACGAATACGCTTTCCCCATAGGTCCGCTTTTGAGGAAGTTATGGTCCTTCAAAGACACCCTACTTGCCGAAAATTTGTTTCCCACGGCTGGTCCTGCCCAGAATTCCCTTCCCCCGGTACCTCGGCGCCGATTCAAACGGCAAGTTTGTGCGCGCATCGGGCGAAAGAGTTATTCAAAGAGTTACCTCGCTTCCTTTAGAAGCAGGATGTTTATTTATAAAATGACACAATCCACGCCGTGCAACTTGCGGTACTCCACTTCGCCGTAACCGTATTATCACGGCATAATTCATGTTCACGCTGTGGTTACTTCGCTAATTCGTAATTAAGCAAAGGCAGAGAAAATGGCTGTGATTGTGCCGAAGGAGATAGTGAAGATTCAATTTTGTTTCATAAGTTTGTTTTCAATTGGCTTAATCACTGGCGCTTTTACTCCAGACCCTTTGCTAGTAGAGTGCACTTCCTTCAAGTCAACGAGCTCCTGGTCTGTATAAGCGTGCGATGCTTAATGGTGTTGTATCTCCTGGTCAAAATGTCTATCAAGTGCAAACGTGACTGAAGGGAGGCAGGGGTGGGGAGTCAGGGTCAGTGCTCCGCGGAACGCGCGACGAAGGGGTCGTATGTTGCATGCAGGTAGTAGATGGGATGGGGTCGTAAGTGCAGGTGTCACTACTGCGAAAAGCTGTGGCAAATAAGTGAAGCACTGCCTCGTTCCCGTGTCATGAAACTACCACACAGCAGAAAGGGAGGTTAGTCTGACAATGAGTATGATAGGGGAACCATTAGTTGTAGGATAGGGTTGTCCTTCCTAAAGCTTGTCCACAGGTTCATATTTCTATGTCTCTGCGTTCTGAATTGAAGACGAATACAAGTCGCGCGGCGTTACGTAGAACGGGTTGACAGCGCTATGTGACGCTCCGTACGATGTCCGATGGCCTACTACATACCGCCCGGCATCGAAAAGCTTTTTTCGCCGAGTATCAAACACACCACAGTCAGCCATGTCAGCTATTGTACGAGCATGGGGGGTATCGTACCAGCCCCTGAAAAAGGGGGTCATAAAAGCTCGACCAAAATCCCCATCGAATGCTGTGCCCTGCTCGTGGTATTCAATCGGCTGTTTGACAAGGCACATAGTTCTCTGAAATGAGAAGTTTTGCTAAGAGTCGCAGGCCGACATCGTCGTTCGCACAATCTCTGCACAAGGCCGTATCTTGGGCAGGGACAGCGTCTACTTGCTCGTCAGTTTATGACAAAGAGGGTAGTGCCGTGCCAGTCTGTCCTTGACCAGGGAATTTGCGGGCTAAAAATATTTGTCTTCTTAGATTTTCGCCGGTTTCTCCGTTTTCGGTTGATTTAGTATACTCGAATTCCCCCGCTGCTCCGATGGTATGAGAGGAGGAAACTAGGAGTTGGTCTTAAAGCCGCCCCCTTGGGGAGTCGTACGAACTCGACCAGAATCCCAACTATTGATGAGCCCTGTAAATACGGCATCTCTTCTGGTGGGATACGTTGTACGTTGGAAATCCAAATAGGGAACGCAATTGGTCAATGGAGCGTAGGGGAATCGTATGAAGCTCGGAAAAAGTTCCACGACGGTTGGTTTTCCCTTTTTACACGCACCATTCAATCCTCCCTGCAGAACTGCTATTTCATAGTTGGCTAGAGATGCTGCTCCAGAGACTTACCACCCATTTCCCCAAACACATCAATTTTTAGGGAAAGTTGAGCTACAAACATGTGTGGAAGGGAGTTTGAGTGCCTACAAAGAAAGAAAATTCGTGCGATGTTCCTATTTGAGCGAGTCATTGGTTCCCCCCCCCCCAACTCTCAACGCTAGAAGCTTGCGCCCTTGCTCTCCGCACGGCTACCGGGGGTAGCGGAATTTCTGAGGAAAATAATAAGTGTCGCGTTGTAGATTACCGCAAGGGATGCACTTAAAAGGACAATCTTGGCAGATGGGATCTTATTCAGTGGAAATGTCTCACAACGCAAGGATATGTCCCTCGGAGCTCGTGCACTCACTTAGACTATCCTCAAGAATCCTCGTGAGTTGGCAGTTTCGGAATGGAATGTGTTTCTGATTTTGTCGAAGTGCCAGCACGACATTACCCAACTCGGACAGGGACCTGAAAATCATCAAAATCACTTATTTTTCCTCCCAGGCCATCACCCTAGATATCAAACTCGCTAAGCTTACTTGTTAATGGCCTGTGCTTCTTTGAGCAACTGACCAGTGGCGTTCGTCTGCGAAACTCTTTCAGATCCAGCCAAATCAACCAAGTTTAATCGGCCTGAAAGGGAGGGTAAGCTATACCTAAGGTCCGACAGGCAGATGGTAACAACGTACCGACAGTGGTAACGCCGGTTATGTTATTCTTCGTCGTGACGACAACTCGTACGATCACATGTGACCGACTGGAGCTCGCATTCAGCTCAGTCGCTGCTACTGCCTTGAAAAGTACAATTCCAAGTCGGGAGCTTGAAGGGCAACTTGAAGGTTGTACCTTGTTCCGCCGGCCCTCCTCTAGGACCTCGATCACATGTTCCACAGATGTTACCCGTACTTCTCTCAGACCGGGGATCGATAGGCGTCCATCTTCGCCCAGTCGAATCGACAGAGGTGTACTTGATGACCCAGACGGTGCGAGGAGATCTCTGAAATCTCAAGGTAAGCTGGAAGGATTTGTTGTATTTCCTGCTGAAAGAAGACCAGGCTAACTTGATTTTTTCGTTGTAGATTTCTATCATGGACACATTGATCTCATAGTCAATGTCACCGTTCACACAGCCAGCGGCCTCGAATAGTTGCATAATTGCTCGCTGGTTGATTCCAGGATCGGATGGTGGTCCCTGAAAATGAGCGGCTTATGTTTTCAACTGGGGTTAAACCCCTGAAGTTCTGAACTGCATGACAATGAGTCGTTACGCGAGAGAAGTGGAACAGCAAGTGGCGCTGCTACCTCATTCACTGTTCGGTGATGGAAACAAAGGATCCAGTAACGCTCGTGTCTCTCAACCCCGGGTGGTCTTTTCTATGATGGAGGTCTTATGCTAGGGACGATCAAAACAGTGGCACGAACATACTGGAATGCGATTTTTTCAAAAGGAAAATATGCTCTAAAATGTAATTGTTTTCGCTGCAGACGCTGGAACATGTCTGGAAACTGGGTTTTGCGGGGCACCAGTTCGTTTTCCACCAGTTGTGGGGAAGTTTTCCTCTTCCACCAACGGCCGTGGGTTTCTTCCGCCCAAA